AAAAAAAAAAAAAAAAAAAAAATTAGACTGCCTAATATGAATATCCTTCTGCTTTCATGTACCAGCCTATAATCTGGCTGTTTTTAAAATACTCTATATGGGTCTATGTAGAAAACATAAATAGTCTTTTTGGTCAGCCTTTGGAAAAAATGCAGTTTGTCAAAGGCTATTTAGATTTTCAGAGGGTTTGGTTAAATCTTTTTTTTTTGGTACTGGGAATTGAACTCATGACCTCAAGCTTGCCAGGCAAGCGCTTATGCTGCTGAGCTACATCCCAGGCCCTAGAGGGTTTGAAATATCCCTTACTGAATGATGACAGAGGTTTCTCTTTCACAGCCCAATGGTTTCTTGAAAAATTAGGAAAGCCTTTCAAAAAGTACAGGGAGCTCCCATCAGCCAGAAGATGCAGACTGTCATTTCACTTAAAATGCCTTTACATAGTAACTCATTCATGATTAAATACCTTAAAAGCTCTGACAACAAAGTGATAACAGTTATAATTTTTTTAGTGGTTACTAGTCCCTGGACCCAAGCTAAGGACTCTATGTGTTTGTTCTATGTAATACTGATATTATTATTTTTCCAATAGTAAGTTGTCTTTTTTTTCTTTTCTTTTTTTTTTTGCCAGCTGCAGTGGCACGGCCTATAATCTGAGCTACTCGGGAGGCTACAGGGGGAGGAACATAAATTTGAGGCCAGCCTGGACTCCGTAGGGAGCCCCTACCTCAAAATAATAAATAAGGGCTGGGAAGTAGCTTGGGGCTCCCTTGTTTCAAGCCCACTGAAAAGATAAAAGGTAGTTTCTTTTGAGACAGGGTCTCGCTGTGTAGTCCAGGCTGGCCTTGAACTCACTACGTAGGCCAGGCTGGCCTCCAAGTCACAGTGATCCTCCTGCCTCAGCTTCACTAGAGCCGGGATTATAGGCATGCACCTCTACAGTTTGCAAGAAAAAGGGGTTTTTCTCCCCTTTTTAATTTTGTTTTTTTTTTAAAAATCACATAATATAATTAACATCTTTGCCATATTTACATGTACAGTTCAGAAGAGTTAAGTGTGTCCAGGGCTGTGCAACAGAGGTCCAGCGCTTCCTCTTCCAGCACTGAAATTCTGCACCCTTGAGCAGCTCCCCGACGCTTCTCCACAGCCCCTGGAAACCGCCGTTCGTTTCATTCCTGTTTCTATGTGTCTGCACCCATTCCCAGTTTATAATGAGGAAACAGAGGCATAGAGAGCATAAGAAAGCAGGCACGTCTGCCCTGCAGCTTGTAAATACAGAAGAGGCGAGCCTGTTTCTGTGTGCCGGAAGCCTGCATTCTTAAAGGTTTATCAGCTGAAAAAGGCCCCAAGTGTGTTGTGCAACTTGAAGTGCAGAGTCCCAGGTCCCTTCCCACAGGGCTGATGGGCAAAGCTGGGGATTGGCCGGGAACTGTTCGGTGCCGCTGCCTGCAGGCATGAGGCCCTGAGTCTTTGCCGCTGAGGCTTGGAGTGGCCTGGGTTGCTCCGCCATGCAGGGCGGCAAACCCAGCTCCTCCCGCCTTTGGGAAGCAGTGTTTTTTCTCACAAGGCATTGATGGCCCACAACTACCTTCCCCTCGCCTCGTTGTTCACCTAGTCCTCTCTCCTCTGTGGACTGGCAGGTCTTGGGGGAGCTGCTGCGAGCTGGGGGTGAGCTTGGGGCCCTCAAGAGGGTTGGGGTTTGCGGGAGAAGACAGGGAAGTAAAGAAGCAGATGCCACGAAATGCACCAAGAGTCTGAGAAAGCCAGGGGCTGACAGTGGTTCCACCTCTGCCAGGCTGCTGGGGCACGCAGACGTGACAGGGCGCCCTGGGAGGGCCCCAGGGAGCTGAACACGGTCACTGCAGTGTCTGACTGCGTAGACTTTGGCTGATCACTTAGCGGAGGCTTCAGCAAACAGGTCTGTGACTTCAGACTCCAGGAGGGAGCGGCAACATGGAAGGCGAGGGGGTGTCATCAGTGTGACAGTCGGGGCTTGATTTTCTACCACCTCGGCCATCCCTGGTGACAAGACAGGCACTGAAATAGCGTTTCAGTCATCAGAGCCCAAAGTTCCCCTCGGGAGAATCCCCTCTGTTCGATGGGAAGTGGTGACGTTGGCTGTGGTGACCGCATCTCAGGGAAAGAGTCATACCTCTTGCCTTTCTGGCACTTAGCGCTGGAGATCTATTCTCTCTAGGTTCGGCAGGAGGCATCTGCCGGGAGCCACAAACCGATCTAGTGTTTTTAGCAGTGTGTGCTGGCCTCTGCCACTGAGCTCCACCCCAGCCCCAGATTGACCCGATTCTCTCCCTATTCACTTTGTTTTCAACTTCTTGGGACATCGGGGTGTTCTCTCCACCACATTCTGATCCCAGCGTGCTGCGATTCCCTGCGGGAGAGACCCCTGTGTCGGCACTGTCGTTACAGTCTCTCCTTTTCAGGGTCACACCCTTTACCT